TGTCTAAAACCCCGCTGGGACCTGCGGGCGCGCGTTCGCGCGCGGAGGGGTAGGGGTCTCCCTTGCTCCTCCTGTCCCGGTAGAGAGAGAGGGAGAGAGAGAGAGAGAGAGAGCAATCCGCTGTCCCCAGCCTTTGCGAAAGAAAGAGAGAGCGAGAAAGAGAGTGCCGACCTTGCTCTCAAGGCTGCTCAAAGCCCCATAACACATGGGGGGGGCCTCAATGGCCGGGGGGCCTAAACCGCTCCCCAAGCCCTGGCGAAGAAAAAAAGAGAGTGCCGTAGACATTTTGGCTCAAGTCATCTCGCCGCTCTACCCTGGGGAGCGCTCGGGGGCGGCCCCTCGGGATCACAGAAGGTTCTCTCTGTGGTCTCGAGGGGTGGACGTCCCCTGAGCGGGAGGTGGCGTGAAACCACATGCCTGCTGCCACGTTGCTCCAGCGGCCCTACAGCACAACTTGTAAGAACTCGCGAGCATGGCGGACTTCCTGTTGAAGGTGAACGAATCCAACAAGGGAACAGAGCTGCTGCTCCGCATTCGAGGTATGCTCTGGTTGCGAGCCTGTGCTAGTCTGCCTTTCGGTACCACGCCCTGACGCACTCCTACAGCTCTCGGTGTTCAGTGTGACCTGTGTGGGAGTCTCTCTGTGTGTGGCGGTTCTGATCTTTTTCACAGCAGCTTTCGCTTCGGCTGTGGTTTGCTTGCCCCAGTCCTTGGGCACGAGCTCCAGACAGTTGCGAGACTTCCTCGGTTGGCCTTTGGCTTTCGAGTCAATGTTGGCAATGGCGTTCAATTCCTACGGAGGCAACAACTGCGAGGAGATGGCCGTCGCAGATGAATCTCATTGCTGAAATGGTTTGTGATGGTCTTCGCTGCGTGCCGGCATGTGTACCTCATGATCTCATGGTTGTGCACACCAAAGCCCAGAAGCGATGGACTCGAGGAATTATTTGGGTAACACGAATATCGTTCTCACAGAGGCGGGTGCTCCGAGTCGGTGCGGCGACTGCCGCCCCGAGACGCCAGGCAACGAGTCTGAAACAAGACAGAGGCCTGGGCGAATGTGGTCGACCCGGCGGAGCGTCTGGGAGAAGCGCGGGAAGAGCAGCCTTTAGAAAGCTGAAAGCTGTGGTGGAGGCCTTCGCGCCTGTGCTGCGCTGGGAGAAGACGAAGGATGCCCAGACCTTCCACTATAGTGATACAAGTGAGTGGATGAGGTCAAGGACGGCGTCACCGCAGAACAGGAGCAGGACATGCGCGTGTTAGTCCCCACTCCGACTATGGAGGCGCACGCGCTCCTCCAGATCACGGCCCTCCAGCGAGGCTGTGCCATGCATACCTTCGATATCGTCGCGGCTTTCCTCGTTGGAAAGGACCCAGACCGAGAAGTGGGCGTGTATGCGCCCACCTCCCGAATGGAAGCCAATCTTCGAGGAGTGGGTGCGGGAACAACCGCCGCATGGGCCGCATGAACAGGAGAAGCCGATGGAAATCCTCTCTATGGGCGCCGCACCGCAGGGTCGGTGTACCGAGACGAGCTTGAAGAGCTCCTTTAAGGAGACGGCGCAGTACGACCGTATAAGTCTATAGACGTGGAGTTAAAGACCCATGCATGTACGAATAAAGACAGGGATATATTATGATATATTGGTGGTGCAGTGGTGCATTACATTGATGATGGAAGGTGTGCGGGCAACGCCGCCGGGGACCTGTGTGCCCACTGCGAAATCACCACAGGGCCACCTGAGGCCGAAGGTGTATCCGTTGAGGTCTTGGGCAAAACAAAGATCCGACTCAGGCTGTATCCTCACAGCCCGGACCCAAAACACGCCGAAAGCATCATCAAAGCCCTTGGCCTGAAACCTGGCGACAAGTCGCCGGTGCCTTCCGGGAAGCCACTTAAGCGAACCACGCCTCGTAAAGTCCAGTCGACTGTTGGGTCAGGGATTTATCTCTCAGCAGACCGCCGGGATATCGAGTATGCGGTCAAAGAGCTGGCGCGGCACATGGCAACGCCAAGGCGCTGCGACATGAACCGAGCAATTATGCTGGGCGGCTACCTTCAGCATAGCCCGTCGCTTGTCAGAGTGACAGCACTGGACGCATGCGCCTACGATGGCCCGCTCCAGCTGGACGTCTGACTGTGGGGCGGATGCGTCGAAACCCACCGTTCGACGGACTGCCATGTGGTGGTTTTGGACGGCGCGGTCGTCACGACTTCGACGCAGTCAGCCGGGACTGCCGGCGACAAGCAGCCCGGACGCTAAGCTGAGAGGGATCAGCCGGGCGTGCCGCGAGGCGATCTTCATCTACGATCTGGCCACGCTAGAGTCTGCTAGAGGTGGGAACACCGAGGACATGGTCGGACAGCTCATCACGGCAGCCAAGCGCATCAGGCCGGGGAGCAAGCTACGACACCTGGATGCTGCGAGTTCTATAGTATACGTCCAGGGCGCTGTTCAAGCGGGCAAGGCCCTGCTTCGAAAGGTGAAGGGCCCGAAGAACCCAGCCAATTTTCTGACCAAGCACCCGCAGAGTGGCGACGAAGTTGCACAAGCTTTGCCTTCCCTGGCTACGGCGGATCCACGCTACATCGTGGGAGCCAGCGCCGGGGAAACTCACTCGGTGAAGCTTGTGTGGGAAAGCCCGCCGTCTCAGTGGAAGCCCGTGTTCCCGTGCAGGCCTGCGCTGGCAATCGCCGGCACGACGGTGGCCAACCAGATCCTAAGAGCAAAGGGTCAAGCAATCCCGCGAGGAGGAGACTCCTGGCGTGGATCGTCATCATGTAGTGCATCTTGACCTGGACGCTGCGATGGTGCAGCAGAGCCTAGAGGAGGAACAAAGACACCGTCAAGCGGAAGCGGAGCCCTCCGAGCCAGAAGGGGCCGAGGGCGACCAGGAAGAAGAACAGGAGAACACGCCAGCCGAGGAAGAAGTCGGCACTTCCCTGATACCTGTGGAAAAGCTCCTTCGTGGGCACGAGACCTCCCACCTGCAGCTCCGGAGCCGGAGCCGCATGACGGTTCCGCCGCTGAAGCACCACCACCGCCTCAGCCTCAAAACTTCGACGTTGGCATCCCCCGCGCCAGGCGCAGATGGCTCCAACCCGGAGCGCGATTGCCACCACTTCCGATCCCCAAGCGAATTGTGGAGAAGTGTAGCTGTATTGTATTGTATTATAATTATGCCCCCCACGAGGCGCGCAGCATATCTTTATATGGAGTGTGTGGGTCTGGCCTCTGTGCGGCCAGCAGATATCATCACGCAGGGTTTCAGCCTCACTTGCTGACACAACATGGTGATTGGTACGAGGCACGAGGATCAGCCTCACTTCTTAGTTGGCGAGAACTACACCCCGCATGTTTTCCAGAACCGCCGGAATCTCCGCGGATGGGCGCGCCAAATGATAAATGTCCATTTGCCTCCACTGCCGGCAGCACCGCTTTGTTCGGGATGCTTAAGCGAGTGGTCCCGCTGAAGCGGGGAGCTGTGGAAAGAATCCCTCCCGAGCTCAAACCCTCGCGATTGGAGGAGTGTGAGAAATCACGTAGGATTCCCTAATCCCTTATCCCAACACCCATGGGCTTGAGCTATAGAGTTTGTACAAAAGCCACTGCGTACCGCAGCAATTTCAAACTTCGAGAAAAAGGTCGCTGCCTGTTGAGCGCATGGTAGCGTCATGAGGTACAGTAGAAGCCGGATGTTGAACCCTTCGCAGATTGTCCGAGTCGTGAGCTCCGAAAACCTGGGGAGTTCCCAATGCTTGGGCTTCGTGCGACCCAAAACATGGGGATCTCCCAACACTTCGGAGCTCAATGGTTTGATTTCCCAAACTTCCTCTAACAAAACAACTACTCCATGTCATCGGGAATGGCTGCAACAGTGTTGCAACTCTGTGGCTGCACCTATCGGCCTGGTTGCAAACATCTGTAGTGTTGCCACGTTTTTCTTGCATGAGTGGCAAACTGTGCCTCGCGGTGTCCCTCTATTTTTGTATGCCTGTTGTTTTAACCCCACGCTGGTTAGGAACATGCTGTTGGCGCAAATTTCACAGAGCTTTTGCACAGCTCTGCTCGTTTGAAGAGGGACGTCCTGCAAGTCTTGACCTAGGTCCTCATCAACAATGCAGCGCAGACTTTGACTCGACGGGACGGGTGGAATGCTCGGATGGCCGACTTGGAGGGCAAAGCTGCCAGCATCTTAAACATCCGACGATTGCGTCTGATTCTGCGCATTTCTTCTTCGTGGTTCCGTTGATGCTCTTGGCTTTGTTCCAAACCCTGCTTGCGAGGCTGCAAGCTTGCACAGTTCGGCACGCGTTGCTTGGGCTCGGTTGCAACCTTTTGTTGTCTTGAGACTGTTTTCGTGTAGCCATTGGCATTATGTAAGTCATCTGCACCGTGCTGGCACGTATTGCATGTCCTTACTCAGTCTGTGTGTTCAGCCGCCTTTCATTGTATTGCTCCCGTCGTTGTAGTTGTTTGTCAGGCAATCCGACAACCGGCGCAATTGGATGAGATAGCATTGCCGCGCTCCCACGGTCAACGATCCGAAGTGGTTCCGCTTCCAGAAGCCAATGCGACGCAGCAGCAACCAGCCATGAAGCAACGCATGCTAAGAAACGTCATGCTCTGCGCACGGCTATCGCTAACAAACCAATCCAGGCTATGTGGAAGGAGGCTGCAGCCTTGGAGGCGAGCTTGGGCCCGCATATTTGCAAAAAACTGGTGCGACGAATGTTTCGAGTTGCAGGATTTCCCGAAAGGGCAACTCGATGAGTCCAGACAGCCGCTGGATCTCTCGGCCCAGAACAGCTGGAGCCATGGCTGAACGTAGAGGGAGTAGGGTTGTCGATAAGGTTCGAGCTTGAGAGCCTAGATTCCATCCTCGCAGGGTCTTTTCGAGATTCCGGACGCAGGCCCTGCCTTTGCGGGCTTTGCGAGATCGATCGAGTGGTCGTGTGACCGGAGAGCTCAAGCTCAGGGATGCTCAGGGCCCGGAGTGGTGCAATGCCGACAAGGAGCGAGATCTCGGAATACGAGCAGCTGGGGCTCGGGTCCAGGGTCGGAGTGAGGACGGCAGAGGTGGGCAGCAGTGGGTTTTGTGCATCGCCAAGCAAATCGGTTGCGAGTTGCCCAACGTGTCTTTTAAAGTGCAGCGTGCCGTGATCGGACATGACCTCGATCAGTTTGACCGGACCACCAGGATATTACCTGCCGTAGACATTGCAGCAAATAGAGGTAATTAGCCGTGCCCCGAATTGTCCGAGAGTCCGGATGAATGCTACCTGCTGTAGGTTAGGAGAGTCTGTGTTTATCTAGACCGGGCTGTTGGACAACAAGGCCTTTTGCCAAAAAATGTTACCTGCCACCCGCTGCCCTATCCTGGAGTTGTCCGAACTGTGAACTACACGACACCCGAGCCCCAGCGCCTTGCATATATTGCTTGAGGGGCAAGTGTGGGTGGAGAGAAGCAAGTGTTGTTGTTGTCGATTCGTTTGGTACTTGATGCGTGAATGGCCGACTTGACGGATGTCCTTTCGCGGGGGAGGGCTATTGGCATCGAAGCTCTTGAGCACGTGTGCTAACAACGAGTATGAGCATGACCATCAAGCCAGCCTGACCTGTACAGTGGGTTCGTGACCCCTCGAAACCGTGGCAAGAACCCATCCGGCCCTGCCGGCCACCCGATTCACCTGTGGCTCGTCTTGCGTCTCCGAAGAGCCGAACAGCAAATCCACGGTGCAACATGTCAGACTAGAAGACGCGTTTTATATGTGCAGCACGGCACCATTTACTCTCGCCCCCAATCAGCACACAAATCCCTGCAATGCCACGCTCTGCTTGTATGCTGTCGTGCTACTACAATGACGACGACCAGTCCTGCTGCCTGCTGGTTCTGCTATTGCGGCGACGACTACTCACGGCGACGAATGAGACAGCGACGACAACGACAAAGCCTGCTGCTGCTACTGCCACTCTTGCTATTGCTATGTTACAAAACTGCGATGACGAAGTGGTAGTGAGCTCGCCAAGTCCTGTGACCAACGCACGAACAAGCAATGCTGCGACTTTTGATGCTGTGAATTACCAATTGCGACGGCCAATGACTGCCATGGTGAGGCCCTGGAACAGTAAGTGTGATCAACCTCGCCTGAGCTTCGAGCGCGAGTACTAAACAAAAGTGTGATCAAGCCCTTCTGCTGCGGTTTGTCACCTCGACTGGACTCTTGAGCCCCGTTGTGCTTTCATTCAGGTCGAGACGACTGGAAGAGGTGTGCTCCTAAGACTTAGATCCATGTGCATGAGAGGGTTTATTGCGGCCTTGACTTGAGGTTGAAACTCTTGAGCTTCTGCAGACTCTAGCCGCGAACACCGCAGCCCCATTCATACTTTGCAGCAAGCTTGCTGCAGCCAGTCGCCCGGAAGTGCAAGTCGTTAGAATGAGTCTTTCGAAGGGCTTCCGCATGAGGCGCTGGCTCCAAAAGATGAGTCTGAACCATACGGGCACATCGTCAACGTGAGTGCAACGCTTGCTGCATCGCAGACTTGCCTGCCTCCATTCAACCACCTGTCTGATGGATTGCAGGTGCATTGGAGGGCAAATTCTCCGTAAAGAACAAAAGCCCGGGGCATCCACATACGAACATGGCGAAAGCTGCTCTGAACATGATGACACACACTGCTTGCAAGGACCCCTGTCTTGACAAACAGTGCAAGTCTCAAAGCTCAAACCTTCGGAATGCTTTGGTAGCCGGATGCTGGGCGCTTGGCAGGACATGTATCGACGCCGGATATTGATGAATTGTGCCAGCTGCCAAGCCGAGAGCCTGTAGAATCGGCGGAGCTCGCATTATAACGGCGGAGCTGTCCCACTAAAGATTTTAATTTTCAGCTGGCATACACGAAACACCCCTGTGCAGCCGAGGTGGACACGGGCTGGGTGACGGACATGGCGCCTGGCGGCGTCGGTGCCGTCGCGGCCAGCCATGAGACCTGGATTGGTCCACCGCTGGATGAGGAGGAAAGCGTGCTAGGCCGTGGCAGCATGTCGCAAGAGAGTCACCAATTGTCGCGGTCGAAGGAATTAGAGTCTTCATGCTCGCTGCCCTCGCAGTCGTGGTAGGAATCGGAACATGTGTATAGACCGGTCGGGTCATCGTCTTGATAGCGGAACTGGCACTACTGGCGCGGTCTTGGTGTATGTGTGCGTCATCGACACAGGAGTGGCCATAGTTATGGCGAGTAGGGGGTCAGTCGGTGGATGCAGGTGGCATCACTCGAAACCAGCATTTAGCGCTACCTAGCCGAAACAGCGGACGTTTCAGAACCTTGGGGGCCGTAAGGGTACAGACCTTCAGGGTTTGCCAACACTGGAGTTGTGGTTTCATAAGGGAGAAACTCAGCTGGGGGTTAGATTCGGTTAGATTCTTAGATTAAGCATCTGAGCATTGGGATAGGGCGCCGTGAGTGGAAGTCTGCCAAAAAACCTACTAGTAGTTGAGTCTTAAGGCGGGAGCGGCCCGAGAAAGTGACAGCACGAACCATCTGGAATTACGATAATCGTCTTGCGATCTTTGTGCCGAAGGACGGGGCTGCTCGTGTGCTTGATCCTGTCTTCAGCCATCTTCTGGATCCGACATGGCTGCTGCGTGGGAAGTTCTTCAAGCACCTCGGACAGAAGCATGCTTTTGATTCTTCTTGCGGTTGCCGATTCCTGCTAGATTTGCTAGATCTTGCCGTGACCTGCACGTACCAAACCGTAGTTTGGTTTGCGATGACTCGAGTCTGCGCCGGGCATTCACAAGACTGTAGAGCAGAGGCCGGCATGTTCTTTCAACCCAGCTCTGTGTACAGTGGAAACCAAGGAACTACTATGCCGCTCAGCTCAAGAGACCTGTCAGATCATTTTCCAAATGAGACGCTGATGTCGAATGAGGTTTGCGGCTGGTGAGCGCGACATACCTCAGAAAGTATCGCCTCTGGACAAAGCATCTGACATGCAGAATCGTTGTGTTGGTGTGGCTGAAGGTTCGAGCTTTGTCTACTAGGAGTTCAGGACTTGTCATCGCGAATTCTTGCCGAGCATGAGAGTCGAACACAGTGCTGAAGCGGGCCGACGGCGCTTGTTGCTGGCGTGCTTTCATAGTTTTTCTTGATTTGCTGCTCGAGCATGTATCACATATGTGTGAAAGCACGGAGCTGAACCCAAATATAAGAAGGCTAACAACGAACAGCCAGCAGCAGAGATTGGCAACATTTGCTGTTGCGAAATGCAAAAAGGGCCTGTTCTGCATGGATGGCAACGAACAGTTGTGCTTGAGCACATCGGTCTGCTTCTGCAACACAGAGATAAATAGTGGGCTCGGCAATGCGGGATGAGTCCGACAAGGAAGGTGGTCCAACTGATGCGCCAGCACAGGCGCATGACAGGCAGGGCATTGCACATTCGATCGTCCCAGTGTGTCCCAACTAGCCGCCATGCATCTGGCAGGTCAAACGATGCGGCTCGGCCTATTGTTCTTACTTCTTACGGCCAGCTAGGGTTCGCAGACAGAGTTAGCTGAGGTGTGGGTAGAGGGAGGAGGGAAAATGAGGATGCGACAGCCAAAAGCAGCCGTTGAACAGTCTGACGACTCCCCCGAGGTTTGATTCAGGAGAGTAGTACCAGATTCGCGAACGGTGTCGAGTTTTTTGCTGTTCATGCCAACCGAGGCTTCTGAAAGGCTGCCCCATGCCGAGCTTCGCCGATTCGCTTGAGTTCTCTTGAAAGCCATGTGTCGGAACGGGCCCAGCGACGTCCTTTCCAAAACGTTGGCCAAAGTGCATCGCGGGCTCACGACTTCCACTACACCTGTGAGACAAGGCTCCATTTTGATGGAGTGCGGACGGTGTTCGCCTTGTGGATCGTGTCTCGTGCTCAGACCCTCAGCACTCTGACGATACGGCCGCTGTGAACCTGTCAGGTTCCACCACATGGCGCCGAGACAGCCTTCGTTGTTGGACAAGATGCTGGTACGTAGCATGCTCAGATTTTGGACATGAATCCAGCGTCGGTCGCGTCGTCCGTAGAAGCTCAGGAGTCGATGCCGGAGTCCAAGCTCAATGAGCTGAGCCATGCGCGTAAAGTTGCAGGTGCTTGGAGCCAAGGTGTGTGTGGAGTTTTTTGTGCTACTTTCGGGTTTCATGACGCACTACGCATACCACAGCAAGGACGCAAATGGCACCCCAAATGTCTGGCCTTCAGAACATCGCAAATCGCTTTTTGGCAGGACATAGAATCATCTTTTGGGTCGCTGGCGGCGTTCTTTGTTCGCCGCTGCTTCCGTTGCCTGCTGGTGCTCAGCTTACGCAATGCCCTGCATGCCCTGCTCCGCTCCCAGCAGCCGCAGCCACAGGCCAGCTACCTGGGCATGGTGCTCTGCACCGTGACCTTGTGGCGCTTGCCTCAGCTGTAGGCCGCAGCGCCGGGAGATCATGCAACGACCGAGGCTGGGTGGCTTTGAGGTTTGGTCCTTCAACACATTGAGGTGGAGCCTCTGAGATGGAACAATGCCCGTGGACAGAGATTGTTCTTGGCAGCTGCTTCCTCCTCATCAAGACATGGATCGACCCGGAGCCCAACTGCATGTGCCCAAGCCGGAGTCAACGCACGGCATATAAAGCATCCAAATGTGAACCTGGAGGATGTCGTGCGGCCCCTTAACCCCAGAATACCGTTGAGTGGATGCCTAGAGCATCAATTTTGAGCGCATCCTTGCAGTGACCACCCGCCAAGTTTTTTTGCAGAGTATCCCATGCCCTCGTTGAGTACCCCTGTGGTACACACAGCTCCAATTATCCTGCTGAGTCTCCCTAGTCCTATAGTGCCGAGTAAATTTGTCGGCAAAGATATTAACACTGGGACCAAGTTCTGGCGAGGCTCCCATGAATCCGTACATCAATTTCGCCATCAGAAGTCCCTCGAGCTTATGGGTTTAAATTTTGTGTACACTGGGTTTACTGCGCTGCGCAAGACCGCAAGACACACGCACGCGCGCCGAGGCCCGAACATGCCGTCGTGGTTTCTGGTATCTATGCTCCCTTCGTGGCGCATCGGCTTTTCTTGACTCAATGAGGTAGCATGTTGTCGTGTGAGACTTGGAAGCACATGTCGAGTCGAGTGCTACCATGACAGGCGGTTTGGGCACTGCCTTGCGCACCAACTGCTAAGCAAATAGTTCATGGCACAGGCTGCTATACCCGATGTTCAGACCCGTGTTGGGGTGGCACGGGGCCCAGTGTCACTTGTCAAGTGCCTCCGACCGTTGTTTTCTGAGCTGGATCGAAACAAACTTCTTAGAAGAGTCGCACTCATGGAAGCTCTCGGGCTTCTTGTCAAAACTGTTCGTAGGTAGGTGCATCACGGGGGAGGTTATTCAGGCCACAGACATTTTTTTTGTGAGTTATGCCCGCTAGAAAGTGGTGCTGAGATGCAGCAGTGTAGAATGTAGCTGAACCATCCGTCAACAGATTGGAAACGCGACCTTTGCTCAGGGTCGGGCTCTTCGAACTAGTGGAGGCTTCCATGTGCTTCAGGACATGCTTCAAGTCAGGCTGACGGCACGAGGACTCAGCTACATCCTGCTCAATGCTAAGCCAGGGCCAGGGTTATTTTTTGGAGAGCTCTTGTCCAAACGGTTCCGGCAAAGTTTCAAGCTCCTCAACTGCCCCCCTCCTGTTTCTGTGTGTATGGGTGAGACTGTTGGAAGTGGATGCGATCGCGAAGCAGTTTCTAGGAACCGGTCCACGGGCGGGCATGTGCGCGCAGCCCAGATCAAGTGGATCTCGTCACCTGTGCTGTGCCCCATGCCACTGGAAATCTGAGTTGCTTGGCTGTCACCACGTGGTGTTTTGCCATCGTACCGCAGCAGATACCTCAGTCTTGCACAAGCAGAGAATCCTTCTGCGCAGCCAGAACACTGCATCACCTTTGAGGCTCTGCCTGATGTGGGCCACTTAGAGACGGAGTCGTTGGTGGCCCCAGGGGCCACGACACAGAAGCCAGTCTTGCATGAGTCAGTGCATTTTGGTGGCACTGCGTGTGCTTGAGGTTGCTTTGATCCAGACCATGTAAACCAAAGCGTTCCTAGCGGAGGCAATAGAAACGCCAATAAGTCGGTAAGCCCAACACTCCCAAAACACACAAGAGACACCCACACAAGCAACAGCATCACCGGTCACCAGCCGTTAATCCAAAGTCAGCACATGTCACCACACAAGTCAAACAGACAAAATGCGAGAGCTCCAAAATTCCATCTTAGAATGGAGTGGATGTTGCTGAAGTCTGGTACGTGGTGGGTGTCTTGGTTGTGTGGATGTGTTGGTTGTGATATTTGTGGCTTTCAGTCTTTTTACGACTGATACAGTAGATGTTCCTCACAGTTAGCATCCGTCCCAACACCCAAGTAATGTATACAGAGGGCGGGGTGTACTATAATTCCAGATCCGACGCCCTGCGGGGAATTGCATGCAAAAGTAACTGGACTTGAGATGGGACGCAGACGTCGTTGAAGGCGCAGTAGTAGGTCCTTGCCTGTGCCCACACCTTCAACCCAGAGAATCCTCCGGGATTTTCCGTAAATCTCTACAGGATCCTGGCAGGACCGTTCCGAACCCGGCAGGGTCTTGGTCGCGGATGGCAATGTATGAGGCTGTGAGGTTGCTCCCCGGCGCCCCCCCCCCCCNNGAAAACCCATGGTTCCAGCTGGCGACAGTACCCCATTGAAGCCACACACCCCCCTCCCCTCCCTCCCCCCCGTGTGGAACAGCTTGGGCCTTGAGCTTTCGCTTGGAATGCTGGGGTTGTTTGGTTGCTGGTTGCGAGAGTCCTGGATGCGAACAGGTATTCTTTCCACTGTGCTTGTGATCATCCCCCCTCCCACCCTGTAGAACGGCTGGGGCTTGATCTTCGGAGTTTAGTCACCCTCCCCTTCCCCATCTCTCTTTGAAACAGGCGCCCTCCGCACAGGCATGCAAGGCTCCAGACTCGTGTGTTTGGGTGGGATACGATTGGGGGGGGGGGGGGGGGGGGGGCAGAACGCGCCGCGCACAACCCTTTCTAATGCAGGGTGTGTGTGTGTGTGCGTACATTATATTATATTATATTATATTATATTATATTATATTATATTATATTATATTATATTATATTATATATTCTATTATATTATATTATATTATATTATATATTCTATTATATATTATATTATGTTATATATCTCTTTCAGACGAATATGATATGTAAGACTAAAGGACCCTGAAGCTGATTGTAGTCTTGAACAGCCCTCAGGCAGGTGCAGGTCGCAATCGGGCCTTCAAGCCGGCTTTTGTGTGCTGGAGAACTGTCGAAACGGTTTCAACAACGATCTGCTTGAGCTCATATTGGCTCATTGTTAACACCGCTTCACGGTAGTCAGCAGATGCAGGACATCAGATCGAGTGAGCCGTTCGTAGCGCTGTGGTCACTTCCGATTTTCGCTGAGGGTTGCCTCAGCTTCGAGTGTACAGTATCGTTCAAGTTTTCCGGCGCAGGCGGCGCAGGCAGGGACCTGCGAAAGAAAGATGAAAGCAATATCAGCATGCTAACTTCCCAGCTGCTGGCCCCAGGTTCAAAGCTCATGTCACGAGGCCCCGCGCCCTCTTCATACCGCACGTCCGCTGTGACTTTTCGTCGCGGTGGGAGTGAAAGTGGACGGGAGTGAACTGCTCTTGTACTCCATGCTAGTCAACCTGAACTTTTAAGGGATGACAGCAGGGAAAAGGTATCACACCAGATTCTTTTGCAGTCATCCTCTGCTGTTCTGTGAGTTGCAAGACGAAGCAGGCGCAAGCTTTGGGAAGTTCTGGACACGTGCCTGCACATCCCACCGCGAAAGCAAGTAAACCTGTGTGGCTTTTTTGGCTCGAAGCTTCGGTTCCCGAGGGCCGCAGGGAAGCAGAGGGATGGAGGCCGGGATGCTTTGGGTTTGCTTTGGGGCCCAGCTCGAAAGCTGCCGTGTCCTCTGTTTTTCTGTTTTAAGGCTTAGGCCCCCTTGGGGCTTTAGCCGTGTTTAGCTTTAGATTCGCTAGATGGCGGGTCTTGTCTTCGGACAGGTCCAAGCATGTCTTCTGCCAGCAAGGTTTGCATTCTGCGATCATTGAAGAGCCGCTGAAGAGCTGTCGATCCGTGGATGGCTTCATCACGTCCTAGAGCAGGCTCTGACGACCGCAGCTTTACGGCTTGTCCGAGCAGGGATCCTTGAGATACAAGACATATGCAGTCTTCATGGAGAGGCCCAGCTTTGCAAAGGATGGCTCTGCCAGCACATGTCGCCATGGTACTGGTGCCCCCACGGCAGTAGCAGCCACCGCAAAAGCATGACACTGAGGATCTTTTTGCAGTGTTTTGAGTAGCTGCGCCATTCGGGCGCCCCTGGTCACGTGGCTCAGAGCCCAAACCCTAGGCACGCGCGAGGACCGCGTTCATGTCTTCCGTTGTTGCCACGTCGGGTCGGGGGCGGGATTGCCGTTCAGGAGTCGCGCCAGCTTTCGGGTGCCATGGGGTGCGGTGCAAGTGTACCGGCTGCTCGGCACTGTACGGTAGGCTTTTTCGATTCCCCCGCAGGCCGCTATTGCTTTCATCATGTTTATAGGTTTTCCAGCTGTCTGGAACTTCGCATGCAAGCAAGCTACAGCAGAGAAATCTTGCGAGAGCAAGTGAAAGGATTCTGAGACAACCAGGCTTGCAGGTTTCCGATTCACCAAGACTACTTTGTATGTTTTTTCTCCGCCTCCTTTACAGTTGCAGTGCTGACATCTGCTCAGACCGAAAGTACAATGGCATTCCGCACTGTGCATGGGCATATGCGGAGGACTCATCGTGCGCTCAACCGTCAGTCTGATGAAGACAGTTTGCTCCATTCGTGATGCGTTGCCTGCGGAAGCAGAATGTGAGCTAAAGCTACCCCTAATTAGATACTGAGTTGCAATTTGCCTCCTCGCAGGAAAGACTACGAGAAAAATCTGAGAAGCGCGCTGATCAAGAGATACGAGCGCAGCTCAGCTGCAGCAAGTGGACCTGGTTGTGCAGCTGAATTGATACCGTCAAGTTCTCCTGCTCTTCCACCTCTCCTCCTCCACCTCCTTATCGTCCCCTCCTTCTCAGCATGATGGTGAAGATGCTGGTCAGAAATCCTAATAATCGGGGGAATTGTATAATGTCGTGTATATATATATATGTATATATATACATATATATATATATGTGTGTGTGTGTATGCATATATATATATATATAGATATATCAATATATCTATATATCTAT